TGGGTCCAGTCAGTGGGCAGCTAGAGGGGGGGCACACGGGTCGTCCCACAACCTTGGGATAAGCAAACCCCTCAGCTAGCTGCTCTGGCTGGTCAAACAGAGTCGGCAGGAGCCTCGAACCCTGAGGTGAGGCTCCGACCAGGCTCACGTCAGCACGACAAATGCTGGCCCGAGCCTCAGTTGGTGAAGATCGAACATGGATTCCGGCACTGCAGCTGCAAATCTGGACTCCCACGGCTGTTGGCACGAACGGGAGGCCACAGTACCAGCACTTGAAATAGGGCACAGGTGACGCGTCAGGGCTTGCGCTAGGCTCCGAAATTTCCAAGTCACGCAAAACCTCACTCAGAGAAAGAACCGGAAGACAAAACCCAGAACCCTGGCGCAACCCCCCACCGAGACCCTAAATATCATCGGATTTTTCGCCTGCACGCTTGGGCGACCGGCTGCGCTCCTTGACTGGCTGGCTGGTCGGCCCTTTGGCATCTTCGGCTTCCTTGTTGGCCTCAGTGACATGGGCCGCCGAGCGCAACTGAGGAGCCAATCCCGGCGGGAATTGCTCCTGCTGCTGGGTCTTGCGGCGCTTGGCCTCGTCTGCGTTTTCCTTCTTGAGAGCTTCGAGACTGCGCTTTTGGGCCTCCGTAAGGGCCTCTTCCTGAATCCCCAGGGCCTGCAACACAGACTCGACTCCATGGTTGGCCTCTTCATTGCACTGCGTGAGAACCTTGGTTTCATACTCCTGAGTGGCTTTATTGACCTCAGTCTGTGCCTCCTGGATGGAGGTCTGCAAATCTTGCATCTTCGTCAGCATGGCCCTAAGGTTTGCCTTGGCCAGGTCAATGTCTTCCTGCAGCTTCAGCTTGCGCTGGCCAAGGTCGCGCAACTTACCGACGGAGTTGCGCCACTCAACACCTGCAGCCTTGCCTTCCTGCACTGGGTTAGGGACCGGTGCTGCTGGCAGAGCATCCAGGACTTCCTGGGGGAGATCCTCACGGTTGCGCTGCAAAAGGCTGAGTAGGTCAACATCTTCCTGCTTCGGGGCCGGCACTTTAAAGCCAGCCTGCTCAAACTGCAAACGCACATCTGCAGGCAAGGTGGACCACACCTTCTGAAGGCAGCTTGCTAGCTTAGCTGGCTTCGGCTGCCGAGTTCGAGGTCGCGGCCTGCTAGGTTCTCTCCAAGGTGCCTGCGGTACATCAGCGGGCCAAGGCTTGCCACACCAACTGCACTTTGCAAACTTCTGCACTTTAGAGGCATAAATCCAGCTTGCAGGACCACAGGTTTTGCACACATAGTACCTACCTCCTGCCATGACTGTTCTCTCAGCCCCTGAGGCGAGTGAACAGCCCTCAGCCCTGGAGGCGAGGGCCGGCACCTGCACGCTGGAAAGTGACTGGCAAAGCCAGCACTGCACAAGTATGGCTCGCGAAAGGATAAGCTGGGATTCCTGTTTGAGTCCTGTGGCCCCAACGACAGTTAAGGCCCAGAGGCTCAGTTGAAAACAGCTACGCTCCCTACGCAGAACACCCACCTCTGAAAGCAGGGCTCGAGCCAGACTTGAGCCAAAATGGCTACGGCAAATGGGATTTTCTCGTCGTGGGCGAACAAGTCGCTGCCAGGCCATCGGCCGGCGGTTTGGGTGAAACAGGCGGTTTGGTTTTGCCCACCTTTGGTGGGTTCTACTCACCAGTGGCTTCCACTGGGCTGGAAGAGCTTTGTCAGTAGCACCAGCCTTTTGAGCTACACCAGCTGGGCTGGTTACTACTGGCACCAGTTCTGTAGGCCGTGGTGACTGGTTTGGTCCTACAGCTGGAGCTCTTTGGCCCAGACACCAGCTGGGCTGGTTGCTACGAGCACCAGTTGCCTGGTTTTCACCAGCAGGGCTGGTACTGGTAGCACCAGTTTGGAGTTGTTCAGGCCTTAGCCTGGGCTCTCAGTCCCTATGGAAAGGGGAGGATAAGCCACGTTTTTCCCCGTACCAGGTCGTGCCGGTACTCGTCCGGGAGGAGGGGCTGGCCCAACAAACCCTCCGGCGTTACCGCCAAAACGCTGGTATCCACCAGCACTTTCATGAGGGACTCAAAGTCCGGCTTGGAGAGCTTGGTCTTCGCCAGCTCTTTAAGAGCAACCGTGGTGCTCTCAAGCGACGTGTGATGCTTTATCACTGTCAGCTTTAGCTCAGCCCTCAAGGGGTCGTCGATGGATTTCCAGAACCCAGTGAGGCGCTGGACGTTTGGCCACTGGGGTCTGGTTCCCTCAGGGTAAGGGACCCACCCCAGCACGTCCAGCATCACCATCTCCGGTACAGCCTGTCCTGGTTGTGTGAACCTCAGGCCCATCTTGGCCTTCCCTATGTCCTTCACCAGGAGGATCTTCGCCAGGAGGGCCACCGTGAAACAGGCCTGGAAGGCTTGAAAGGTGCTGAGCTGTGCCGGTATTGGGTGCACCGCCTCCATCTCGATGAGGGTGACCCATTTGGGCTCCTGGTCTGCACCAGGTCCTCTTTCACAGAGCTGGTGAACACCAGCTTGCTTGGCGAGGCCTGGAGTCATGGCCCCCGTGACCTTGCACACCAAGACTTCTTGGTCTTGGGGGTATACCGACAGTTTCCATACGACCCCCGGCTTGTGGGGTGTGAACGTGACCACTCGTGAGCCACCAAGGCCAACTATCACCAGGCCGAGCCTGGTTACCCCTGAGGCCTCCGTGCTGAAGTATTCAACTTCACATGCCTCAGCATAGCGGCTGTGGCATGGTTTCACGTTCTTTTTCATGGAGATGAAGAATTTCATCGTTTGGCCATAGTCCGGGTCTGGACCGGTAATGCCTGGCCCCGGGGGAAGCTCACGTTTCCTTTTGGGCTCTTCTGAGCTGCTCCCTTCCGGGGTACCCACCGGAGCTGGTGGGCTTGCCTCCTCTAGGCTTTCAGAGTCTTTCTTCTCCTCCTTTACTGCTGCCTGGTTCACACCAGGTTCAAGGGCCGCACTTTCAGGCTCCGGCTCTTCTTGCTTTACTGCCTGGTTGTCACCAGGTACGGTGGGTGGGGCCTCTTGCGGGGACATCGCCGGCTCTGTTGGGCTAAGTGCCTCCCCGTCTGGCCTATCCACTTGCCCTGCTGGGCTTTCCTCCTCTTTCTGGTCTTCACCAGGTTCGCTCTGTTCCTCCTCCTTATGCTTGGGCGAGCTGGAGGATGAGGAGGAGCTGGGTTCACCAGCTGGGCCGCCCGGCGCCGGGGCTGTGCCCCCGGCACGTGCCCTGGCTCCTTCCCGTATTGTACTCAGGAAGCTCGCCGTGGGCCCGGCTTTGGGAACCACAGGTTCCGACTCTGTGCCAGCTTTGGGAACCACAGGTTCCGACTCTGTGCTGTAGTACGAGTACTCAGCAGCTTCCGCCGGGCCCGGCGTGGTTGCTTCCATTGCTGCCGCCGGGCGCTTTCTGGCTGGTGGCGGCTTCGGCGGCACCTGGGTTTTGCCTTTGCCTTTTGCTGGCCCTTTTTCTTTGCTTTTGCCTGGGCCTTTCTCTTTCCCTTTTTCTTTTCCTTTGGCTTTTCCTTTGTCTTTGCCCTTGGAGGGCAGGTCCACACCTGGTGGGGGTGGCACCCCTCTGGTCACCTTTCCTGCCATCCTTTCCTTTTTCCCAGGCCTGTTGCGGTTGTACCACTTCTTGTAGTCCGACAAGGGTTGCCTTGCCGGGGTGTTACCCGGGCGCTCCCAGGAGCTGGAAGGTCTCTCCCAGGAGCTGCTGGACGCTGCCGCTGGTTGGCCACCAGCTTCTTCAGCTTCCTGGTTTTCACCAGCTTGCTCATCCTGGTTTTCACCAGGGTGGGTGTCCTGGGTGTCCCCAGGCTTTGGTTCCTGGCCCTCACCAGGCAAATGGGATTTTCTTTCCGAGCACTCGAAGAAGTAGCGCGGCTCCTAGGCCAAGACTGTACAAGCTAAGCAACTACCAGTAGAGCTACGGATCTGACAGCCTAGCTACGGAAGCAAAACTTCATAGCCCTGAGGCCGTGAAGTCTTGCTGTTGCACGCAAGCCAGCCAGGCTGGACCACGGAGCTGAGGCAGTGGTGGGAGTGACGTATTCAACGGTACATGCACACAAGCCACCACACGTGCCCCTCAAAACACAGTGGGCCCTCACAGTTGGGCCTCAGTTGAAGGTGAGTTTCGTCGTCAAGCGAAAGCAGCATAGCCTGGGAGACTACCACAGCAGCCTTTGTACACTTTATACAGCTATAGCCTACCGCCTACCGCCACCTGTACACAGCGCAGCGGGTGGTCGCATGAGCACGCCAAGTGCCCACACCACCGACCTGCCTTGTCCATGAAATGAAGTCTGCGTGTCTTAAGACGTCTGGTGAGTAGGCATAGCGTCACAAGCATCTTCAAGGCTGAAGGACGAAGGCTCACCAATTTAGTTTGCACTCTTGGCCGCACTGAACGGACCACCATGCGAGGACTGTAGCGCTAATGCAGCCTCGTAGGGCGCAAAAGCAGCACACCAGCCCTGCACGGCTTTCAAGAGAAAGTCAGTTGTGCTTGTTTTGGTTTGGCTTTGGGTTTGCAAGCATTTTTTGGCGTCACAACCACAGCCGGTTGCCCAAAGCGTAAAGTGGCCTGCTTTGGTCCCTCAGGAGTTACAGCAGCGTCACGCTTGGACCCAAAAGGAGTAGCAGCTTTCGTTTTCGGCACCGCAGGGCCCGACTGATCCAAAGTTGAGCTGCCCACTCCTTGAGCCACTTTACCGATTTGGCTTACAGCCGCTCTCCCATCACAAGGTTTCTGCAACTGCTTCGCTCCAACGGCCGACTGTGGGCGCTGCAGCCTCCCACATTTGGAACAAGACCACTGCACACCCATGTTGACCATACTGTGTGTTGCATGAATGCCCCACTCGCTCAAAATCTCACCACCACCTATGCAGTGGTGTATCATGAGACGGTCGAAGCTTGCCGGGTCAGCTATTTGCTGAACGTACAGTCCACATTTGGTGCATTTCATTGTCAAGTTGGTAGGTCCTTCAGCGCCTTTGACCCACTGGTGACCCAGAGGATCTTCAGGCATTGCCAACTTTTCTAACATGCGTTGTTTTTTGTTCAAGGGCTTACCAGTTTTTGGGCCAGGACCAGGTTTATCACCAGAAACCCCCTTCTTGGACTTCGGATTTTTTGCATTTTTGGGTTTGGCAGGACTGGGCTTAACAAAGGCGGCGTTAGGGACAACCAGGGGCTTAGGGGCAGTATCAGTAGCACCCCTATTCAAAATCCACGGGAAATCCGGGCTCTTTCTCTGCCGAATGATGAATCCAGCACGTCGCGCTAAGGAGTAGCAGACTTGTTCCACCACGGAATCACATTTCTTCAGCCACTTCGCATGCGCGATCGAGAAATGCTGAGAAGCCCTTTGCCCGCAGAGTTTGTCGACGTCCTCGTTGATGAGGCGCCTCCACTGCTCCCAGCCCTGCTTTTCAAAGTAAGCTGCACTTTTATGTGAAGAAACCCAATGCAAGCGGATGCGACTGCGCTCGTGCCATATCGTGCCCCATGGCACAACACCTTCCTGCGGTGGGTTGGCCTTGCCCAAGATTTGCTTGACACTTTTGCAATCAGTTGTGGCATCAAAGTCGCCAGTGACACGATGCATCAACTCAAAAAGAGCTCGCTGTTCGGCCTGAGGCACTGTCAGGGGCTCCGCCTCCAAGCACGTGGCACTCGCAACCCTCTTTGGTTGTCCATCAACCTTAAGGCATAGGCTCCTATGGACCAAGTCGTCACGAGGAGCCTTTGATCCGAGCCGCCTGGTCCTCCAGAAGCATCACAAGCAAAAACATATCGACTGCCTTCCAAAGTACTCTGGGTCGACCATAGTCCCGCGACTTGCAAGCCGCATTGCTCAATCGCAGGTTTGGGATGCCGCACTTCACTAAGGGGAGGCAGGCCTCTCAACCACAATGAAGGCCAAGGATACTGGGATTTCATTTCGGAAAACTCCTTGGCATCAAACTGCTTGCAAATGAACGGACATTCCCAAAGATTATGTTGCAAAGAAAGCGGACACTGGCACAGCTTGCACCAACCTGGTTTGGCTGAGGAAACCATCGCTCCTTGCCATACCGCATGCAAATTGCTAAGGGTAGCTCTCTGCACGTGTTTGCGCTTCAACAACTTGCGGTGGACAGTGAAGTCAGTGCCCTGATCGAGCGAACCACAACCCTCTTGCTGGGCAATGCGAAGCCCTTGCTGGTGTAGCAGTAATTTATGCACCCACTCCCAGCCGCTGCGGATGACATCAGAATTGGTCCAGTCGAGTTGAAGGTTACCTTTGGCATGCCGCCACAGATGCACCTGTGAGCATTCCACTCCCAACTCAATCAAATACGCTTGGGTGGCAGCAATTGGTCCGGTGACTCTCTTCCAAGGGTCTTTTGCTTTGGACAAGTGATTCCATATGCTTTTCCAAGTGCTGGCGAATTTTTGCCCATCCTCACGATGCCACTTTTTAAAGACACGGAAAACAGCCCTAATATGCTGCCGCATGATGGTGAAAGTCGGGTCTTCGCATTTGGCATGATTCAAGGCAAAAGTCAGATCAACCGATCCTAGTTTTTGTCGACCAGCATGTTTGCTGCAAATGGCGCGGTAGTACTTGCGCCTCTTGGGGCTCACCCCAAGGGCCTGGTGTCCCCAGAGGCCCGCTGACATGATTGACGCTTTGACCACCCTAATCTTATGAGACACAAAGGGCACCCTGAGACTACAAAGTTTTTTATTACGGGTTTGTGCCTTGGCTTGTCTGGTTGCCGCTAAGCCTAACAGCCGTCTTCTAGTGCCCCCGGAAGTGACCCCTAGGTCGCGGGCGAAATTTTTAATGGCCGGATCATCCGGTTGGCATATTGCCTTCAAGGCCTTGCAAGCCTCAGACGACGTGGCCACGAAGGAAGTTTTGCTGATGGCAACTTGTGCGCCCCTGGACTCCAGGGAACTGCGAAGACCTCGAAACAAGCGCAAAGCAATGCTAGCAGTTTGCTTGGGAGCTGCGGTAACCGTATCAAGACTAAGATCATCTATCCAAACATCCAAGTTGGACGTTCCTGATTTGACACTAAGCTCAGCCGCAACATCATGCATGATGAGTTTCGCTATCGAGGGTGCCGCAGGGCATCCTGGCAGGAGTCCGGTATTGGCCTTGATGACCGGTGCGACCGTGCCTTCGGCCTGTAGATATCTGGCTCCACTGTAAACCAGATAGGCCTGGTGTAATATGATGGGCGGGTAGCCCAACTTGAGTCCCGTTCGGAACATTTCATCGAACCGGCAACGATCGAAGAAGGTCTCTAAATCTAAAAAGAGCGTTACCATGTGTAACCGGTTATGCCGAGTACACTCCCCCCGGACCAGTCTCCCCAATGCGACGTCAAGTACGGCTCCTCCCGGCAGGGAGCGGTCCCAGTGGCATTGATTAGCATACTCCTGCTGCCACTGGTTTATCAAGGAGAAACGGAGGCGCACATATGAGCGGTAAAGCACATGGAGCAAGGCTATTGGCCTCTCGCGGAGTGTGTTTTTGGGCAGGCATGCTATCAAGGAAATGGCAAACTGTGCTGGCCACTCTGCACTAGCCTCGCAAGCGTGCATGAAATCAATAACAGCCCGGACTGCCTCTTCGCTCAAGTTGTTTAGCATCTGTGCTGTCCAGCCGTCGGCCCCAGGAGCCTTCGCTGGAAACTTTTTGAAAAGTTTTACAGCCTTCTCAAAATTTATGGGCGGCAAATGCTTGGCTTGATCGATGGCTCTGGCTTTGACCTCTGCCAACAAATGCGGGTCCGTAGTGACCGGCTGGCACCAAATGTCGTGCCACTGCTTCCATCTTTGGTACACTCTATCTTGCAATGAAAGATTTCGAAAGGGTCTATCACAAGGGGATTCCGTACTTTTGAGGCATTTGTACAAAGGCTTCATACCTTTTACCAAGGCAGCACTCAGCCACTTGGTGTATTGTTTAGTGTTAGCCTGCTTAAAAGCCTCGGTGTGATGCCTGTGTTGCGCGGTGGCTACAGGTTCCAATGCAAGGAGAGCCGCAGGGTCGCATTGTTGACTGGCAATTGCAAGCGCGCTGGCAAAATCCTGTAATGAGGTCGCATCACCATACCATACATCTTTGAGCTGGTCCCCTGCTTGCTGCCCGAAACCACTCACATGCCAACCCGAGTTGCGCACAGTTTTGATCCAACCTAAGAATCTGCACCAGAAAGCCGAAGCCTTACCTCCCCAACCAGCGTTGGGAGCGCCCTGCACAGGCAATGGCGCGCGATGCAAAAGAATGTTGGCTCCTCTTCCCTGAGCCTGGCCATAAACGGACATTTCAACAGCACAGCTTAAAGCCGCAAAATCAAGTGTCAATTCGTCGGTAACCTGCTCATCTAAGATGGTGACCTCTGGCCTGTCGGTGCTTAGCTGAAAAGGCTGCGAATCGAGCTGCGCAGGCTTGAAACCCTTGAGTTGCGGCATTTTTTGATGCAACAGGGCAACATCAAGCTGCCAATGCAAAGCTGCATGCGGCCTTGACGGGGTGTTCCAGTCCAGCTGCACCGCTGCACAAGTTGCCAGGCTATTCGAAATTAAACCAAAATCAATTTGGCCTCCGCCAGACCAGGTGGACGTGCCTGGTCCGACCCACACCGCACGCGCCTCCTCCCCAATATGGGTGGAACTTAGGGTTTCAAAGTCCTCATTAAAGTCACCCAAAATCGCAAAGGCACCTCTGACGGATCGAACAAAGGAAAGAAGCGATGCAATGATGCCGGCATTGGTGCTGCTCTGGAATCCCTCGCCTGATTTCAAGTACACGTTGACAACGTAAAGATCAAAGCCTTTTACCCTGAACATGGCGGCTTGGTAACCATTACCTTCAACGAGGTGGCTCGTGACTTGTGACACATCGAGGTGTCTCCGGTGCAAGATTGCCAATCCCCCGGTGTTGCCCCCTTTTGCCCGTGGCCACAGCCGGGCACTGAAAGACCTCATACCCGAACATCCCAGCATGGGCAGCAAGAAGGCTGACATCTTTAGCATCAAGGTGGGTCTCTTGAAGGAGGGCGAGGTCCGGGCTTAAATTCGCAATCCAACTAGCCAGCTCTTTACGCCATTTGGTGACATTAAGACATGTGATGCGAACCGGTTGCCTGCTGGGGCGGCACTTCAGGTTTGCCAAAACGTCCTCCACGGCCCATTTTGCCGCTGGGCCACATTCTCCATGAAGTGAATCCATGACCAGTTCGGCGGCGTTCCATTCGAAAGTTTGCTGTTGCAGCAAGCCTGTGTCTTCCAACCGGGAGATCGCCTCTAAAACGGCCGGCTCATCAGCATTTGCAAGGCCAATTTTGACGTCAGTCCAAAGTGAATGTTTGCTGGAGCTTTTGAAGGTCGTGGTGCTAGTGGCATCACGCGAGTCGCCACAGTTTGCACGTTCCCGAGTGCAGCCACCGGGGCGCACATCGGGTTGCATCTCATGTTTCTCCGGCCCTTCGGGCTGCACCTTGCAAAATTCCCGCGACTGCTGAGTGTCGCGTGCCGGGCTGGGATCCAACAAGTTTTGCGATCTATCATCATCCGGACCCTGGCCCAGCGGGTCGCGACTAGCAGTGTCCGGGAGGCGCTCCTCGGACATCAAACAAGGGTGCTGGGGATGCCCCAAAAAGTGATTTATGACTGTAGACCCTGCCACACAGAGGGCAGGAAGAATGGGTTCGGGAGGGTCTACAGTAAGGCCAAAATGGCCATTTGAGGAGGAATGCAAAGCAGATTGGCAGGTCGCCCGAATGCTGCCAACAGGGCGCACATCGGGGTTTAGACGGAGCCTTCGGTTGTGCCGGCGCCGGGTCCGGCGCGAAGCTGGAATTTTGCCCTGCATTATATTACAGGAAACAGCCCCAACATGTGTTTGCAGAACCTGTGCATGTAGCGGCACACTGGTGACATCAGTAAGTTCCTCAGGCTCCGGGGCCTCAGCGCAATCAAAAAAGTATGAAGGACCCGACAATGCTACCAGATCCTTGGGCTGCTTGCACGTTGTTTGGACCTTGGCCTCCCACTTGCATAAGCACCTCGGGCAGTAGTTCAAGACATCAGACAGAGCAGTGAGGACGTCGTCACAAGGCGCATTCAAGTGAACGTGGCAGCATGCCTGCACAAAATTTTTAACCTCCTGGTTCGAACTACGCCCTAAGACCGGTGATTGGCCACATCCAATGCACCAACCATCCGCCTCAAGACCTCTGAGTTGCTCCTGCAGGGCCTCGCTGGTCAAATTGGGGTTAGGGACCTCAGCAGGAGGGGATGCGCACGGGTTCGGGAGGGAATTGAGCCCGCACTTGGGCTTGCAAACATGCCACACAGGCTCCGAAGATGCAGTGATCCAACTCTTCATTGACACACACCGATCTCGGATAGAGCTAGCCGGGAGTTGATAATCAAGGGTCCGGCGCACTGGTGGGTTAGGGCCCTCAGCAAGAGGGAGAGCACACGGGTCAGGGCTGGGGATAAATTCAAGACAGCCATCATTGCTTGGCATCACATTCGGTCCCCCAGGACCCCGGGCCAGCGGCCCCCCCACCTCCTGATGAAGACTCCCCCTCCTGGTAAAGACCTCCACCGCCATGGGGGTCCTGGGGGCTCCCTGTAGACCCAGGGGCTGTATTGGAGAAAATTGCTCAAGTTGGCCATCAGCTGATAAAGACTCCGGCACACTCCCAGCCGAACAGAAATTGGGGTTAGGGCCCTCAGGTGGAGGGGAAGCACACGGGTTCGGGCAAGGAAATGAAACCTCACTCGTGGTTGTCTCCTCCTCGAGGCCACGGGTGATTGAGGAAATCTCACACCCCTTCGAGGAGCTGAGGTCCCAGCCCTCATCCAAGGCAATCCCCATGTTCGGGTCAAAACTCGCATCCAACCTGCTGCCCAAATCGACCTCACACAGGCCTGGCAACTGCAAATTGGGGTTCGGGCCCTCAGCTCTGGGAAAAGCGCACAGGTTAGGGCTCGGAATTAAAACCATGTCAAAATCTTTGCTCAAGCACTGCCAAAAGGGTCCCGAGTCGGCCGTTAAACAAGCCTTGCTCGAAACCAGCCTGACGCGGCACCCACTTGCCTGCACTCGGTATTCTAACATCCTGTGCACAGGTTGACCTGAAAGCACATAAGGATCAAGAATGGCACGTTTTTTCAGCCTACAGGTGGTGCCACCTCGCGGGAAACAATGCTGGCACAAAGGTGGCAAGGGAAGCTCAGTCAAGGAAGATTGTCTCGTTAGGGGCACGTGGCAGCATGCACAACACAAATCCTGACATGCAAACTGCAACGCCCCTTCTAACGCTCCCAATCCCATCTCCGAAACCCCAACAAACCACCCCTGCACCACAGAGGGCTCTGGCTGGCCTGCGCACCCAAGACTGCGCTCGGCCGGTGTCCATACGCCACTGCGCACGCGGCCTGACGCCCGGAGGCACAATGCACACACCGACCCACAACTAGCATCAAACTGGAACTCCTGGAACTTTGGACAAGGCTGCTCTCGGCACAGCGTGACAGCACAGATGGGGCAACACTCTGCTTGGCTGAACATAAGCACTGGGCAGAGCTGAGGTGGCCGCACAACGGACTGATCCGACTGCAAGGTGCAAGCAACCAAAAGCTTTTCCAGAGGCTGGGATTCAAGAGCCTCGCCTCGACCTGACTCCTGAGCTGGCTCCACGCTGCATCCACCAACAAGGCAAGTACGGCTATGACCGAAAAGCGAAGAAACAACCCGAGAAACGCCGAAGTCAAGAACCCTAATCCCCGACCCCTAACCCTGCTGCGCACTGCGGCCCCTGCTGCGGGACCTGGTTTTGCCCTTCTCCCTGTCATCCTCCTTAGCGGCCTCCTGCTGGCTTGGCCCAGCTGGAGGAGGGCTTGTCGGCGCTGCCTTCTGCGCCGGTGCATCCACGCGCCTGCGCTTTACAGCTTCATCAATGGCTTCAACAAGGCGCTGCCGGTAGTCGTCAAGCTGATCAACATCCATGGCCTCAACCTGCTTGGCAAGAGCCTCTGCTGCCTCAGGCAAAGCCTCAGGGGCCGGGACCCCAGCAACCGAGGATTGCAATTCCCCTTGCAAGGTAGCCACCAGCTTTTGTCGCTCCTCCAAGGATTCATTGATGGACTTCATGTCTGACAACATGGTGGAGTACAGCTCTTTATGCTTATCAAGACGCACTTGCAAGGCAGCTTTGCGGAAAATAAGGTCTCTCAATTCTGCAGTGGCAATTTTAAATTTTTTGCTTGTTTCGCTCATGACCTCCTGAGGCGTGGGTGGCCGCTCAGGAGGGTCTTCCAGCAGCTTCTGGATGTCAGCTGGCAAGGCACGGATGTGTTGCTTACACAATGAAGCAAGGTCCGGAGGTTGCACCTCGGGCTCTTGGATGCCAAGCTTACATAGAAGCTCACGCTGCTCTTCGCTCACCGAGGCAAACAGGGACCGAGCAGCCTCAGCCTGAGCAGCCTCATCCCGGACTTCCGCTGTTCCAACTGCACCCTTGCCTTTGCCTGCACCTCCTTTGGTTTGCCTGAATAGGCCTGGCGGGGGCTGAGGGATCTTAGGTCTCCACCCCGCCTCCTCAATCTGCTGGCGCGCGTGCTCAGGCAAGGATTCCCAGATGGTTGTCAATGCCCTCTGCGCTTGGTTCTGGCGCGGGGGTCTCGGCGTCTTGGACTCGGGCTGTTGTGCAGCAGCGGGAGACCTCCACACTCTCACAGACGGACCCCATTGCGGATCCTGCGTCGTTCCCTGCTTTGGTCCTTTCTGTGGCCAGCGTTTGCCACACTGCTGGCAACATGGCCTGTGAGGGCCAATCCGATCCGTCCACACCCACGATCCGCAGCCACAGACGGTGTAATGCCTGGACATCTTGACTGGCATCACTTCCCTGTGTGGGCCTGCGCGCTCTGCGATGGCCTCCTTTCAGGAAGCCTGCAAGAAAAACTCCTCAACTGTACTTTTGCAACAAGTAAACGGGCAATTTTGCAAGGCCCAAATCCAAGAAAATTCTGCACAAGAAAACAAGGATTGGTTCACAAGCTGCAAGAAGAGTTTGCAAGCAGTTTCAAGTGTTGCGGCTCTATGGCGCTACTCTAATGCACTTCAGGGCTCTCCCTGGAACTGCCGCTACCCCTGCGCGCCCGTGCGGGTCAGCCCGCCTACGAGGAAACACAGAGATTGGTTTTGAGGTCTCTTGAGGGCCCACCCTTAGTTACGGCCTCAGAAACCCAGCCACGACGGCAACAAGCGTCCACTCGCCAGTTTGAACCACAACAGCTTGAGCCAAAATGGGATTTTCACACCCCCTCTTGGACTGATGCGGCACCTAGTGTCTTTTGAGCACACTTTACAAGCTCTAGACCTAGCTTTTCAGGATAGAACCCTGAATCTTTTAATTCCACCTGTACATGTTCATGCACTTGGTCACAATCCCTTTTAGGAAACACTTTGACCCAGCGTTTACTGTTCGTGGCAAAGTACCACCGTTTAAACACACAGTCGTACGCACAGCGGTCTACCACAATACCCTCAGACAGCCCCAATTCTGAAGCAACCTGAAGATACCGCGGGTCCTTCCAGAGGTCGTTCTGCAGAGGCCACTCTTGAGTCAACAACAAGCGTTCACTCCGAGCAACCGGTTTCAACAAACCTTCAAGAAGTTCCCAAGCACGCTGATGCAACTTCTTCTTCTCTTCCCACTTCTCTTGACTGTACTTGCGCCACCCGCGGTAACGCAAACGACACCCAGTGGTACAGGGAGTGGAGATATGGCAGTAGATCTTAGTCTTCAAGCCACAACTCAACACAGAAAACA